ATAAATAAGGTCGGAAAAAGGGTCATCCAAAAGTGTTTACTGAAGATGAATTAGCCTTTGCAAGTCTCCTTGACAAAATCTATATTTTCGGATTTCCGGTTGATTTCAGTTTTTTTATGAATTCTTGCTTATCTATGCGTGATAGAACGGTCACTACTTTCGAAGACAATCTCCCAAAGCGGAATTAGGTGCATTATTTTTAATTAGGTGTCCACAATAAACTATAATTGGATAAAAAATTGGATAATAAAAATATCTCAGCTACTAAAGTTATCTCCGTATTTGTAGTGTATTTACATTCATGTTTGTACTAGAAAATCTAGGAACTACATAAATCTAGTGCAAAACTTAATGGTTTTATATAAGAAAACTGCTTGGATTCAAGCAGCCCATACATCAGTGTAACTTAAACCCAATTTCAAAAAAAAAAAAAACTGTGCAATTTGTGTTAAATGTATCTTATAAATTACTCTCGATAATTTTTCATTAAAGCTGTTAGATTGGTAAATAATATTATAATAAAATTTTGTTTAGATTTTTGTGGATTAGTACAGAAAAAACTACAAACGAATTAACAAATTGGGTATAAGTAGCCCGTGTTTCCGGTAGGTACGGTAGTTAACGAGACATTAAAAACGTATGCGCTTCGTTTTGTTTTTCTTCTTTCTCGCCCCAAAATTACCAATGATCTCGCCAGCCAACTCATAATGACTCGGACTGAATGAGGGTAATTGAATTTTGTAGTTTTGTTTGAAGAATAAAAAATACTGTGATAAAGCCAAACGCAAACGTCTTTGTCTATAACTACAACACTCGTCATAGTAATCATATTCATCAGATGACAGTATCAACAACTCACTACAAAAATTCACATATAATACATATACATGAGTTTGCAACACCTTGCCCAATACATTAAACGATTAAATTCTATACAAAAGTTTCAGTTCCAAGTTAATTATTTTCCGCTGTACAACTGTTTCTATATAATTAAAGACTATACCGAGCATCCAAAGGAAAGAAATATTAATTGTAACAATGACATTTAATGGGTTTTATAGCATTTTGATTGTATAATTGTCAAAACATGTATTGCTGTAACATGTATTGTATTTCAGCTCCTTGTGCAAAGACCCCCATCTCGATCGGGTTTTCGTCCAGTTTCCCTAATCCTCGAGCAAATGCTGAGATGACACCTTGATTTGCTTCTGGACATAAATGTAACTTCAAATTAAGTTTTCCCCATAGCACGTCACACACAGTTTTTAACTATTTCTGACCTAAATAAATAAAGTAACCACTGACAGTAAACGATACCTCGTTGTTAAAATATGGATTTGCCATTATGTTAGGAGACGGCACCAATGCTTAGAATTACATTTTTTCTGAAACTTGAGCAAATTTTTCGCAAAGCGGCAAAGCCAAACTGATGCTTGGGTATGTTTTCTGTTTTGTTTAAACAATTGTTTAATCTTTTCAGAATTAATTTTTCTTGAATTGTTGACAGAGTTGGCAACAAACTGATTGGCCTGTAACTTTCTGGCTTAGTGTGAATTTTATTTGGCTTTGGGATAGGAATAATTTTTGAGTTTTTCCAAAGTATTGGATAATAATCAATTCTAAATAATGAGTTATAAATATTTTTTATGGAGGCTATTGTTGGAGTGGGTAGGTTTTTTATAATTTTATTGTTAATATTATCATGTCCAGGGGCTTTTTTTTTTGAAGGGAGATTTTTTATTAAATTCTTAATTTCGTTTGGTGATATGAATTTTGTTTTTTGTGGAACATTATAGTTCGGAGTGGAGACAGAGTTTGCAATTTGTATGTTCTGTTTGGGCTGGGGTGTTATTAAGCGTAAAAGTACTTTCAAAGAAGTCAACTTATGCTTTGGCTTTGTCTATGGGGAAATATTTTTTCCCAGATGGTGTGCTTATCGGAGGGATGGTGCTTTGCTTTCTTAAAATTGTTTTAGTAAACTTCCAAAGTGAGTTGTTGGTTGTGGTTAGGTATTTGATTAAAAAGTTGTAGGAAGAGTGTCGGTGTTCTTTAATTGCGTTTTTGGTTATTTTGTTTATGATGTTAAGCTTAATTTTAATTGGGGATTTCTATTATTGTTCCAAGTCTTCTTGTTCTGTTTCTCGTTTTTATTATGGAACCTGGCAATTTAGTATGTGTTCTTGGTTTATTATGTGCTATGTTATTTTGTTGTTCAACGATAACACTGGTTACTATATTGTTTAATAATGGTATTTAACTTTCTACTTCTAAAGGCGTTTTTAGATTCCTGGATTTGGGGGTTCTGATAATTATGTTTTTCCTAAATTCTTTCCAGTTTGTTATTAGTATATTATGTGTGGGGGGGGGCGGTTGTTGATGAGTAGATATTATCACAGGGAGGTGATCAGTCACAAGTTCGTGTAGCGCGGTGGAGTAAAATGTAGTCCGATCGTTGGTGATTGCAATGCCCAATGTGTCTGGGTGTTTGAGTGGTATGAGAAGTAGGTACACGGGCGGATGAGCGTGTCAGGCTGCTCATGGCATTGTTGTTCGGGATGCTCGCGGCCGGCTCCTCTCCCAAGGCCGACGAGTGGTGCGCGCAACGGAGGGGGCTCTGGCGGACGAGGGCGGTGCGGGCGGGGCGGGCGGGGCGGCGGCGGGCGGGGCGGGGCGGGCGGCGGGGCGGGGCGGGAGTGTCTCGTCCCGATGCGCCGCCGCCGCCGCCTGACCCACTTCCTTTTTTGCTTTGCGGAAGCGGCGGCGGCGGCAGCGGCCACCCCGCCATCCTCCCTGCGCCCGAGGAGGCCTTGGAAAATGCTAGCTGGCTCCTGGAATTCGATACTCTGCTCTGACTAATGTTGCGATACAGCGTTTCCGCCAAGACAACTCTTTCTAACGTATAGTTTCCTCTTGATTACGACGATCAGTTTACACGACTGGATGGTGGAAAATGTATATAATACAAGAATCCCCGATCCACGAGAGTGCATGGTTTGCATACAGCGAGTGGAATCGTGATTGGAGCAATGTCTTAACGAGCCCAAGGTATGACCGAACTCAAAGACCCCATAAAAATATTTTAATTGAACATTTTGAAAGAGCAATAAACCAACCTGCCCAATTCTAAGAATAAATATTTAAATATTTTTTAAATATTTTGAACTCTGGTTAAATTTCTTATAAAATCTATTCGGAGACCCCTGTCTGGGAAGGTCTTAAGCTTGTGCATTAATCCAGCCCTTGGTGAAAATATTAAACTGTAATACAGTCTATTTCATTTATTATTATATTTTCAAATAAAATATATTTTTAATTAATGTTATTTTTTAATTTTCAGTTCAATTAATACATCTATTAACGATTTCATTTTTGAAATAAATAATATAAGCCAAAGGAAAAAGTAAGTAAATAAGAAAAGATAGTAAAGAAATAAACTAAAAGACTAGGTAATATACAAATAATATCTAGTGAATAACAGTTCTACTCGGTTTACATATTCATGTAAGTCTTAGAAATGGGTTCTACTTGCCTGTATATTATTGATCTGCACGTAGGAAGTACAAAATGATTAGTTTCTGACACCTTTTTACCATGTATGTTCCGTATGAAATTCCCTTCTGAGAGAAACTGCACAATAAAACTCTTGTTTTTTGTAATGCTTTAGAGTGTATTTCGACATGGCCGTGCACATTCTCACCTAAGTAATTTCATAACGAAGGTAGACTCCTTTTTATGATCATAAATTCCAGGATTTAATGTTACCGTGAGATACCTTTATTGAGATGCAAACAGAAAAATATTACAACTGCAATATTATTTATAATAACTTGTGTTACAGAATGGAACAGACTTTCTCGTATTAATTTTCTAACTTCATTGATCTGGGTCAGCATTTGATTTGTGCTGCTTAATAAATGAAATAGACTGCTTAATGTATATAAATCGTCGGTACTGTAAACATTAACAACATGACACATATGTCAAATAAAATGCATTTAATTTTTGAAAAAATAAGACTACAAAATGTAGTTTGTCATCTTATACAGTGCATTTACCACTATCCATACAAAAAGTTTAAAGAAAAAATTGAGAGTATCTTTTGGAGAAAATCTTGTTTTTAATATTTTTTAATAACGACCATATTTCACTCAAAATTGCAATAAAATCAGTAAGATTTTAGAAAACAATGTACATGAGAATGATGTACATGATGATTAAAAAACTAATCTGGAGAACAAGATTTTTCAAGCAACAATCTTCAATATTCTAATTGTTAGGAGACGCCGAAAAATCTCGAAACTTTCCCAATTTTCCAAAATTCAGACTTGTGAAAACCAGACCGACGCCATTTATATCTTTTGCTCTAAGATTTTTCCTTAAATTTGGAGCCTTTATGAAAAAATTTTGGAAACGTCTCAAGGGCAAAGTACCCCAAATTTTAAAGAACGTTGCTTCACATCCAAAGCTTCGAAGCAGGCCAAATCGACCTGGAAGCATTCATTTTGGAAAAAATAGTACGCATATTTTGGACGCTAGTGTTATTGACGGGCGGACGGGCGGACGGACTCAAATTAATTTTTGAGTATCAAGGCGCTACAACCCGTGGATTCTAACTACCAAATATGTTAGAATTAGTAATATACGGTACTACATATTTCGGAATAAAATTTATCCACTTTTTCTGTATACCGGTTCCGGCTTTTTTTGTTGAAAAATTGCCCTTTTTGCCACATCATTGCATAACTTTCTCTGATACTATGTATATTACTCCGTATATACGTACTATACGAGAAAGTAAAAATAGACCGGAAACTTACCCACTTTATCTGTGCATGGGTGCAAAACTTTATCTTAAAAATGGACTAATAAAACTTGTAGGTATTTTGGAGATACTTGTAGAACGGTTTTCGTACATGAGCAAGTATCGTTGGATGTGTACCGTAGATGAAGCTGATGGAACTCACTGCATAACCATAACAAACGTTATTCAGAAGCGCGATATGTCGACCGACAATCGCCTGTTCTGTGTACTTCCATTTTACTGGGCCGATGTACAATCAGTGGCTAAAGGAAAAGCTGCATCTACTCAAGTTCGTCAAGAAGAACGGAGGAACCTAACATGAAAGTAATGAAGTAGATGTGAAATTTTCTGGTTTAAAAACTTAATTTCGTTTTATTCACGTCCCTTTGTGGATTGTTGGTTGATAATTTCGTGTTTCCGCGCTCGTTAACCGCTAAGGCCATTAGTCCCGTAAGTGTATTGCATGTTTTCTTGCGGGAGGGGGCTGTGATCCTCATCCGCTGGATTGTGAGATCTCCTGCTGACTTTCATGTCGGTTAGCAGGGTTTTCCCCAACCACGTATCTCCCACCAGCGAGGCACCGCCCCAGCCAGGACAATCACTAAGCTTCTGATATGTGTTAGTGTAGTGTATGTAAGTATGTGATAAAAATAGGACACGGAAGAAGAAATGAAGATCTCGCGCGGCCCGTGGCTCTTTTGTTAGACTGTTCCACCAATTGCCACAGCATTCGCCTGGTATTGATAGGAGAAAGCACGGAGAACTCTCGATCAGAGCAACCGGTCGCTAGAACTCGCTTCCAGAGGCTGAATTCGACGTAGCAATGTAGCTAGTGGCGAAAATTGTGCCATCGTCAGAACTCGAACAAGAGGTTCTGCCGGCCAGAGGCACTGCAAGGACCTTGTTGGTTCCCTGAGTCACGTGAGACGGTTTGTGGATTGTTATTGGATCGGCTTCTGGTCGCAGTGTGAAGAGAACGGGACTTAGCTTTACTCAGATATACAGAATGACCGTATTCAAAGGGAGGATAATGAAAATTCTATCCAATAAAATATTTTTTCTAATACTGCTCTGGAGAGAAAACAACGCGGTCTGTGAATCTAAGTTTCAAATCGCAGCGTGACGAGTATTTTCTTAGAAAAATGTTAACCAAACCCTGTTTCATTGACAAAGAAACCTCAATGGAAGAGAGAATAAAAACTATTAATATGTTAAGAGATGTTTATCTACATAGAAAAATTGTGGTAGCAGAATATAGGTAATGAGTGATCGATGGAAATTTTGTCAGAAGATAACCAAGTATATAAGAATATAATAGTTCTTTCGGCAAAAAGATATTTTTCAGTTCATTGCCACTTTTTTAATAAGTATTTAATGTTATGCATTGCTTTGTTGCTAACGCATGCGTTTGAATTTCCTGCGCTACTCTTGTTTTACCCAATTTTCTCGAAATTATGTATTCTGAAATGTCGCTTCACTGCGTTGACACCTCCGTATTTCAAAAAAAATACAGTGCGAAAATATGGCAATCTGTTTGCAATTATTAAAAAAGGCGAACCAACTGAATGGAATTATTTTCATGCATTTCCGTATTAATAAAATCACTTTATTTTTTTGCCCTGAATGTTGAATACAATCATGGTTTACAAATGGGGAAATTTCACTTATGTTTTCTACACTCTTAAGTGATATAGCTCAAACTTCGTATGATTTGTTATTTGGGAGGTATTCTCCGAATAATTCAGAATAGTTCTGTGACATGTGAGTTAAAACGATTATAGAGCAAGTAAACGCTGAGGGCGCGCCATCTCGATACTGCTGGATAATTGAGAAGGGATTTGTCCAGAAGATGCGCGTGTGGGCGTTCCCGTTGCCAGCCTGTCGGAGCAATAGCGCAACCTGCGGAAGAAGAGGATTGAGCTGAAAAGCCCTGTGCCCCGCTCTAGGACGAGTGCCATCTCCCCTGGCTTGGGCTGCTCGACGACGGCGGCTTACGTCAGCGCAACATACATTAATTTAGACGAATGGATTTTCAAATTTTAATTCCTGTGATACTAAGACTGCGATGCATGTTGTTATGACTTCAACAGTAAAATATTAGATTCATTGAATGGAAAGGGAAAATACTCGTATGACATACACGTATTCGTGAAATGGCATGGTTATATATACACGTAGTTCTGGATAATACTGCTCGGAATATTCTTTCTCGGAACTGTTGTATAGTGATGCTCACTCATTAAATAATATAATAAAAAAAGATTCTTTGAATTCTGATTAAGTTTCTATGACCGGTATATAAACGCATCTTAATCATTAAGTTTGCATTTAGTAGACGACTATAGACGACATTACTAGAATGTATTTCTGTCTTTGTGCTTAGAAATTATTCCTTAATTTGCAAATACACGACAATCGTGTAAAAGGCCTGAAGAGATGGACAGATCAAAAATCAGTATTGTAATTAATGTTTATTCTCTTAAAAGTGTCTGATTTACTATGTTCTAGCTTCATTAGCATTATAATTAATAGATAAAATAAACCGTTAATTACTAATAAGAATATTTTGATACAATATTTTGACAAATATTCTGTTACAATTTCTCAGAACAAAATATTATATTTTCACTTCGATTAGCTACATGTGGTATACAAATAATATGTATTACTAGTTATATCATAACATAAACATTTACTTCCTTTCAATGTGATTAATATTCCTAACGAGCCGATTAAGCGCTGCTGTTTTTTATTGGTTGCTATGATACCGGCCGCAAACAAGGAACTAGGAAATTAGGTGGAAGACGGTCTTATTGAGTAAAATTGGAAGAAAATGAAGGAATTGTTAATGTTGTCGAAGAAATACCAAACAACGCGGGTAAGCGGTGATGGAAGTGCTTTAAAATAAGTAAAACGATGTATTTTTTAAAAAAGGTATTATTATTATTATTATTATTATTATTATTATTATTTATTATTATTATTATTATTATTATTATTATTAATATTATTATTATTATTGAGCTGTAAAAGAAAGAAGAAAATATTTGAAAATTATTCTATTGTTTGAAAAGTATTTTGCCGAGACATCTTTGAGAAATTTTTTTGCAGTTTATTTGGTATTTTATTAGTCTTGTTAATTATTTCTTAGTTCGAAAAATATAGATCTTCGCGATTGCTGTGTCAATATTTCCTCTTAAAACCGATGGACCATTTTGCCAAGTATATTGACTTTTGTTGACATATCAAATAAAGGTCATGTAATAGAATGATTTTGGGTATACAACCCAAGAGTAATTCCGAACTACGTAGAGATAAATACATTCTAGAAATGTCAGTTCCGAAACTACGATTTTAGCATTACTCTAAATGTGCAACAGGGAAGGACACATTTAAAACATTTTCTACTTGACATTTGGAAAATTAATTTAAGTTTTTATCAGCCACATTAAGATGAAAAAATATTTGTTATGGGAATGGCTTCACTGTGAACAAGCTTCATTTAATGTATGTGGTAAATAAAAATATTAACGGATGAGAATCAATCAATAATTAATACTACAAATGGAAACGATAAATAATATTCTATCGGTGAAATATTATATAGAACTTTCAAAGTTTTTGTTTCCTGGTAGTTATTTTTAGCGAATCGGAAGATTACGTCATCGAGTATTAAGTAGGATTTTGATATACATCCTCCAATTCACAAAACAATATCGATTGTTTCTAACATAAAAGAAATGATTTCATCCTTTTAGCTGATTCATCAAAAATGACGGTTGGTATCAATTGGCCAGTAGGCAGGAAGAAAGCAGTAATGCGGGTGAATGAGCTGACGTCACAATACGTATATATTTCAGGGTTGCCGTCGAAACTCGCTCAGTGAAGAAGCTGGACGTGAGCTGATAGGTCTGATAGTCTTCGTCGACGTCGAACATCCAGCCCATCGACCTATCGACCCAGCGGCCGGTCCACGCCTGCAATGTGTGAGTGATATTTTTTTCATATTTCTCTCGACCTTTGTACTTCATAATATTCTTGTAATTGCATTAAATTTGATTTTCTGCTCTTCACGATATAGTTAATACAGCGTATTCCGCAGAAATATTTATCGGAACTTTAACTGCACGTTATTTCAGTGCCATAATGATATTACTGCACATTTAATAATACCCGTTAGTGCTTAATACTTCAAACGATAAGGATTACATGCATCGTTTTGTTTCGCCGCTGAAAATACTACCGAAAGCTAGCTCAATATGACGTGGGGGAAAACTTCATTACTTTCCAGAAGCAATGAGGAAGCAAGAGATCATGAGTACACGTCTTATGAATGAAGGGAAACAAGACATTAAACTCGATCGAGATTTAAAATGAAATTATTTTTGTATGGAAATGCTGAAAATAGTTTTCTATTATACGTAACCGTCTTGGTTAAGAGATCAGTTTGTCGTTTGTTTCCGTCGAGGTTTTCCTCCTCCTTCGTACGAAACAGTGTTATATTGACATCTCCATTTCTCTTTGGCGTCAGAGGGCGTCTAAATCAAGGTATCAAAGCCGGCGTCGTTAGCCGAATTACTTCACTGCGCTCCGTGTACTCACGGAAGTTAAGCAATTCCAAACACCAGGGATTCCTTGGCGAGTGATTGTCTTGGATCTCCACTTACTAACGGCGCCGAGCAACTGGCCAAGGGAATAAATGGCACGGACTGCGACATGACGAGACAATCAGACAAAATGTTAACGGAGGATTACTCCAAATTTGCTCAATGCCCAAGAAGGGTTAAGAGACGTGTTACAAAGACGCAACAATTGATTTAAAAGAAACGTCGTGCTTAAAATATGGACAATATCTTAACTATATCGTAAATCATATATTAATCACTCTTTGACTATAATCATAACAATGCACTTTTGAAGTCTTGCAAATTTATGCTGAAAACAAAATTGATTATATTCTCGCATCGTTAAAACGTGAGATCTATCCTGGCAGCAATAAATTAAAAATTGTATGGGTGTATGTATGTATATGTATGTGTATGTATGTATATGTATATGTATGTATATGTATGTATATGTATGTATATGTATGTATATGTATGTATGTATATGTATGATGTACTGTATATTTGATAGTGATGATTAATAGTATTATGTATGTATATATGTATGTATGTATTAGTTATGTATGATGTATTATGTATGTCTGTTATGATAGTATGTGTATGTAGTATGTATATGTATGTACTGTATGTATGATGTTATGTATTATGTATATGTAATGATATTGTAGTAATGTATGTAGATGTATATGTATTGTATATGTATGTATGTATGATGTATGTATATGTAGTAGTATGTATTATGTATGTATGTATTATGATTATGTATGATATGTATGTATGTATATGTATATTTGTATGTATGTGTGTTGTGTAGTAGTGATGTGTGGTGGTATGTAGTTGTGATCGTGTATGTATGTGATGGTATGTGTGTATGTAGTGTTGTGTAGTATGTATTTGTGATAGTGTTGTATGTATGTTCGTGATGTATGTGTGTATGTATGTATGTGATGTGTGTGTATGTAGGTGTGTTTGTAGTGTGTGTGTTGTATGTATGGTATGTGTGTGTATGTATGTGTGTGTGGTTGTGTATTGTTGGGTAAGTTGTGTTTGTGTGTGTGTTGCGGGTGTGTGTGATGTGTTGGTGTTGATGTGTGATATGTGTGTGTGTGTGTGTAGTATGTGTGTGTGGGTATGTAATTGTGTGTGTGTATGTGTGTGTATGTGTGTGTGTGTGTGTGTGTTTTATGTGTTGTGTGTATGCTGTGTATGTGTGTGTATAGTGTAATTGAACTCTCTTTAGTTCTTGAAATACGATTTTCCACGCTAAACTTTAACGACGATAAGGATTTCTGTAGAAGTAGATACACAACGCGCAAAATTAACAAACATTTTTGAATCAGTTTGTCGC